TCAGAAACAACTCTCTTCAGGATGCTCTTAATAAAAAATTGTGTCAGAGGCATTTTACTTTCTACGAGAATGTCGATCTTACTCTTGGTATAATCATGCTGTTTTTAAATTGACTGACTCTGGGATCTTTTAAAAGTGATGCATTTAAACCTGAACAAATGAAAAAACCACTAATTCAAAATGAGAATGACACCAAGAGTAGTGAAACTGCAGACTCGTAAATGACAATAAATAAAAATAAATTGCCAACAGGTTCATAACTTTGGCMAAGACTTGTATTAATCAAACAAACTTTTGGCTAGATAGGTAAGTCTCTAAAAAGGCTAAGCAAATAACCAGTCTGAGCTGTTTGACATTTACTTGAGCTGCTATAATTCAATGTTTTTGTGTAATTCTACTGTTCTGAGTTTGTTTTAGCTGTATCAATAACACATAGAACTCTGGATAATTTGAAATTAAAAAAAAGGTGAAAAGCTGACAGCAACATAAATACATACACACATAGCTTCAAACCCACACACACATGCACATATCCTGTGTTGTGATTGCAAAATGACATTTGGTTTTGTAATGTTGTGCTAAATCTTGCTTAATCCTGCAACTTGGTGTATTCAGGTAAAATTTTGTAGTTTTTCTGCCTGCTTGTGTGCTTGGCTGAGCATTGCATTAGCTATCATAAAACAGCTGTCTTTTATTGCAGGTGCACTTATAGGTAATAGATTTAAAGTACTATGATGCAAACTGTGCAGTAAAATAAATATTTATTGGTCTGACAGAGATTGAGGAATAAATATGGAGAAAATGGCAGAGATTTTAACTGATGCTGCAAAGTTTAYCCTTTGGTTGAAAAGGAGAGAAGTGTCACTATTTCAAATAAAATTACAGGGAACCTTTCTGTTAGTCATTATTTGCCTTGACATTATTGGTATCAATTATTTTCCATTAGACATAAGGAAATGGAGCGAGGCCCTGCATCAGCTGTATAATATTGCCTTTGTTTACACCTAAAATTGTGAGAAATTGGCAGGCATGTAATAATTCAGTTATTGTTTCCTATTAAGCCCTAAGGGGTGCTGAGGAACTGATTTGACATGGGCTGAACACACATTACTATCTGCCAATTCTCCTCATGGTCATTACTGATGAATGAAAGTGAATATGTCTGAAGACATTCATGAACAAATTTATGTCTGGATAATTCCCACAAATAAAATATGAAGGTAAATGCTGGATTACATCTGACTATGGCTTTGCAATGGTATGGCATTGTCTRTGAATGAAAGACAAGGGTAATGTGAAAAGACAAAGTGGGCAATGTATCAACAGGACATTCTGTAGCATGCAGTAATATAAAAGACAATGTGGACATAAAAGTACTGCATGTATTATTATTATGCCATTTTTCAACAGTAATAGTGTGTGGGCTGGCAGGTTTTCTGAGTTGGTGGCATAATCTGAGTTTGCAAAGTATGATTCTAGCAACAGAAATGGCTTATGGCTCATCTGAAACCAGCCCGGTGGGGTGCTGTCGTAAATGCACATTTCTTGCTATTTGTGTACTGCTGCCGCTTCGATGCTGTTTCAAGATTTTATGGAACAATGTGCCATTGTTTTGCTCTATCACAAAAAAGCCAGATCTTATWGTGGATGAAAAATATATCTGATACATTCATAACTATTTCATTAAACTTCTTGACTTATTTCTAGCTCAAACCACTCACATGTGATCATAGGGGAGGAGTCAGATTTGTTTTTTTCTAGTTTATTTAAATTTGTTTGTACAGAAGCCATTTTTTGCTTGGTTTTAAGGAAAGATGACTTAAAACGTACTGGGACCAACCTATGGGGGACACTGATCCCACTTATGGCTTCGACTCCCAGGATCCCAYACAAGGTCAAGTTTTATAATACATGTTGATAAGTCATATATACAAAACATGAGTGGACTATCCTCAGCATCCTCTAACTTATCCTACATTAACTCTCACCCATTTGATGAAGACTGAGCTGTTTGTTTGATAGTAAAATACTGCAATAGATAAAAATGCCATCCTTATTTTGACTTATGTTAAACTATATTTTTAAAATCATGAAACCAAACTCGGGATGAAGATTTTTCCTTTTTTTCCCCCTCAGGATGTTAGATTTGGACACAGACAGCCTGAATTCAGGACTGTCACATTTTAGGATTATGGTTTATGTGTTCAGCTTTAGATACTGAGCATGATATTTCACGGTTCTAACCTGAAATTAGTGTACGCCAGTCCTGGCTATTTTTTTACTGTTGCTTTTAATATACCCCTGCTATGTCAGAGCCAAAATCAATTTCACACCTTTGAACATTATCCTAAATACATGCACCACATACCCTGGTTGTTAGACTGATTTTATGAAGCAAAGCAAAGAATGAGGTCACACATGAACAAAGAGTGGAAGTACAAGCTTTATTGAACTTAATATGAAAACACTTTATCTGCACATTTCAGAAAATATTGTGGATTTTTTTTAACTTGCGTAAGAAATATTATAAAAATGTTCAGATACATGATGGCAATGTGTCATAACATCAGAATGTACTTTGGTTAAACATGTTCTCTTTTATTTAATTCAACTAATTCATATGCATTTCACAATAATGATGTCTTTTCTAAATAAAATAGTTTTTAAGGGTTTTTTGCACCTTGCATTAGTAAGACTTCACTTGTGATAAGTTTGTGTTGGGCCACACTGTATTAACATTCAATAAACAGTTGGTTACATTTTCAAACCATTTCTAAATCGATTTTAGTTCAGTTAAAATGCACATTTGGTGAATATAGAAAAAAAAGTTAACATTGGTTTAGTGTCACTGCTTGAACCATTATTATCACCAAGCCATTTATCTTTTGAATAGCATGGCGTCACATCCCTGTGGTGTCAAGAGAACAAGTGTGCAGTTATTGGGCGACTAGCCAAACGCTGTAATGAGCTGTCACAGTGTGAAGATTGGGACTGATTGCCTCAGACGTCATGAGGTTGTAGATCTTTTTTTTTTATTTTTCAGGCACACATTTTCAGTCCATCAAGGACAAATGGATTGCATACTGCTAAAGTTGTACTTTTTATCAGAAGCAGTCTGATGTTTCATCTGGTATTACATATCACTATCGTTTGATGAGATATGGGTCCTGATTTTACCTGATTCTGTAATATTTTTCATACTCAGTGATGTTGGATGTGAGTACCAGGTGTAAATGACAGATAAAGGTTAAACTTGTAAAATAAACATTTTTGTCATTTAGTTTATGTACCAACATACTGTCTCAAGTTATAATGACAAATATAATTCAAAGATAAATCAAATACATATTTATTACTGAAAGTGGTTAATTTTAGCTCATATAAAGTAGCTATGAGAAAATACATTCTTTTGCTCTTTGAACAGCCTTAGTTTGGGAAGTAGTTTAATTTGTACTAAATGAATGAACTAACAGATGCTTTTAAGGCTTATGTTTTTGTCTGAAAATAAACTTAAATCTAACAGTTAATGCAAACACTTTTATAAACCATTACATTGCTGTCAGTTTTGGTTATTACCAAAAACATGCTGTAGTTATTTGTGAGCATAAAAGTGCAAGTGAGACTGATGCAAATGTATAAACTAACTATCTGCTTGTCAGTTTGGTTAGAATGAAACCTTTCTTTTAACAGGAAATCACTCAAAGAGCTATCTGCAACAATATATCACTTGTTCATTACTTTTCCACAAAACTGTACTTAAGAAGATCTGAACTATCCCTTACAGTTGCCCCATAGATGACTGATACAGKATTTATGATTTAACTCAGTATTTCTTCAGCCTTCCTTTTCCCGTAACTTTGAATAGATACCATCTTGCCTTGTTGATCAATATGTGTCTTGCAACACACCAGCAGGCCAAGATTGATTGAGTCTAAATGTAGGATGTGTGAAATGATTTTTTTTAAAGTGTGGCCCCTGTATTTGATCCCATATTGACAGTCACCATCATGCTGTATTAGTCCTGCTGCTTGCACAGCTTTTTGTCACAGGAAAATCTGCCGACGTTTAAAGCTGTGGCCTGATGTAAAGCTGTGAGGAGCTATTACCGATATTCAATTCACCGGGGGCAGATCACACACTGACTTTCATCAGTCCAAGAGAGAAAAAAGGGACCACTTGAGAATTTGTTCTGTGGTTTCTTTTTTGGTAGGCCTTTTATAAATGCATTAGTGAACTGTTAAGTTTATATTGAGAGGTATATAACAGCAGATACATTTTCTGTCCTTGCATRTTTTATTGCCATTTCTGCCCTTGCAAATTATTTTAAATGGATATTTACAAAATGACCTTTTGTGCTTTTATCTGTGTCTTTAACTCCAAATTTGTAAAGTAAGATAAAAATGGACCTGGGGCAGCATGAATGCATATAATAGCCACAGTGATTATGTACATCCTAACCCTTAAACAGCTGGCTGCTTGCCAGACTCA